TCTGGATCCATATGCGGTTTGTATTTACGGCAGAAATGTATACAATTAGTTTTGAATTTAGAAAATTTAAAGCCGTTTTCAAGACACTATTTATATATTTTATTTAAACACAACTGCAGTTGCGGTTCAATAGTATGCATATTCTTACCGCGACAAGAAATATCAAAACCATCGACAAAAAGTGATCCATCGATTGAAAGCTTTAAAACCTTGGATAACTGTTGATCTTAATGCTAAACATTGTGACAGACAAAATACTGCTTGGTCGGACACCCTGATCCTGATTGTAATGATCAGACAGGGTTGAACCCACTCGGACTTGAAATTGCATGTATGTTAAAATCTGTGATATAAACAGAGGTAAACGACCCCTCAAACCCAAATCATGTAAATCCTTTAAATTGCCATGCTTCCAGGTAGTATCGTAGGCTTTATCGAAATAAAAAATATCGATACTGCATATTGTTTATTCATTATAGCATTTTATACAAAGGATTCTAAACGTACCAAATGATCAATGGTACTTCGATTTTTCCTGAAACCACATTGAATATTTGTAATAAGGTTATTGGCTTCAAGACACCAAGTTAATCTATTGCTTACCATTCGTTCCATGCTTTTACAGACACAACTCGTTGAAGAGACTGGTCTATAATTAGACGGATCAGTATGATCCCGGCCAGGTTTTGGAATGGGAACTTCAATGGCATTACGCCACGAAGTTGGGAAATTCCCTGAAGTCCATATTGTATCAAACATATTTAGAAGTGTTTCCAAACATGACTCCGGTAAATGCTTCAAGAGCTGATCGTGTATTTTTATCAGCTCCTGTTGCTGTATCATGAGCTTCCTCAAGGGCACTGTGTAGCTCATGTAATGAAAATAATTCATTATAGTCTTCGCCATTGCCTGAGATAAAAGTTATTTTCTTCTTCTCCTGTTGTTTCTGGTACTCTTGAAATTCTGTGACGAAATTTGACGAAGAAGAATGTTTGGCGAGAGTTTCACCAAGCTATTTGGCAATGTCGGACTTATCAGTTAATAAATTGTCACCATTCTTCAGATGGTGAACAGTAGATTTGGAACCTTTGCCCTTAATTCTTTGTATCATATTCCACACCTTTGACATATGTGTACGGGAATTTAACATAGTTCATCCATGACTGACGCTTATTCTGTTTAAAGGTGCGTTGAGCCTTGGCATTTAAAATTTGTACTTTATCTAAATTATGAACGGTAGGATGTCGGCGAAAATACTTTTCAGCTTTCTTCCTACTTTTTCTGACCTGTTTACAGTCATTAGTAAACCATGGTTTACGAATATGTGGAATTGCAGGGGACTTGGGTATAGTTTGGTCAGTAATGTCATTGAGTATATCTGAGAATAACTGTATAGGATCTTCGCTGTTCACAAAAACATCATGTTTCAAGTGATCAGTACATAGAGTCTCGTATAATGACCAATCAGCCGTGGTGAAGTTCTTTCTTGATAATGGTGGATCATCACCAGGGTTGACTGTTTTGAGAATGGTGGGGAAGTGATCACTCCCACACAGGCCATCATGGACCACCCATTCAAATTCATTACATAAGGTTGAATCGGTGAGTGATAGATACAGGGAAGAATACGTTCCCGTTCCTGGATGTAAATAAGTAGCTGAATCATCATTGAAAATACATAGATTATTATCAGAAATTAATTCTTCAAGGATTTTACCTTTAGTATTAATATGGTCAATGCCCCAAAGTGGGTTGTGACCGTTCAGATCGCCCATGATGAGGCATGGCTTCGGAAGCTGTTCATATAGATTCTGAAGATCGGACTGTTGAATATCAGAAGAGGGAGGGCTATATAAGCTGCACAGCGCCAATCCAATGTGAAGAGTGATACGGACAGCTTCAGTTTGAAGATTTGTATTGAGATGGTACAGGGCTATGTATTACACCCTGTCGTACCAAAATGGAAGCACATCCTGTTGCTTTATCTCCTGGAGGAGAAAAATCGTGATAATCACTGTAGTGTCTCAGAGTACACTTGTCAGTATGTTTTAGATAAATCTCCTGAAGACATAAATCTGACGATTTAAGATCTTGTATTAGTAAGTGTATTTCATTGAAGTTGTTTCAGTCCTCTGCAATTCCATTGCATTTAAGTAGACAACTGAGTCATGGAGGCTCGCTTGGTGATCTCTCTCGTGTATGTGAGGAAGAACTATTCCCCCGCTTGTCCTGTGAGGACAGCGTGACCTCCATATCAAGAGGTGCAAAAGGGTTCTTTAGTGGAACCTCTGACGGTGAGTGAGTGAGTAAGTTGGGTTTTACGCCGCTTTCAGCAATATTCCCGCAATATCACGGCGGGGGACATCATAAATGGGTTTCACACATTGTGCCCATGTGGGGATTCGAACTCGGGTCGTCAGCGTGACGATCCGACGCTTTAATCATTAGGCTACCCCCACCGCCCCTTATGAAAGTGAAGGGACGATAGCTGTCGGTTTCCTATCTAATATTTTTCTTTTCTTTTTAGATGAATGAACAGGGTGGGGCTGTTGGTTAGACGTCTGTGATGGTGTCTCAGGCGGATGTTCAGTCTGAGATCCAGATGCCGACTGTGTGACACAGGATTTCTGTGGTGCGACTGAAGCTGAAGTAATGGTTTTGTCTGACTTGACCCATGTCAAGTTAGTCTGGCATGTAACGGAGGATGTTGTCACAGAGCGGGTGACTGCAGCTGAGTAAGTAATATTTAGTGGAGTTGATGTTTCATTGGTAAATAACGTTTTGGCTTCAGAGTAAGAGATAATCTTGTCACACTTTTTTTTATTATGCTTGATTCCTTTTGCCACACAGGATTTAGATGACGCACCATGAGCACCAAGACAATTGCACATTTAAAGCCTTGTTGCAATCCGTGTTTTCGTGGCTTCCACCACAACGATGGCATACTGCAGAGCCACGACAAGACTTCGACCCATTTCCACCCCGATGTTAGAATATCCTGCCTTGATTGATGGTTGTAAAGATGTACAGTCAAACGTTAAGAGATAGGTATTTGTCTTCACAACGGTACCCTCTTTTAACGGTGAAACATTTCACAGCAGAAACACCCTGATCGTGTAGCTCTTTAGCTACATGTCAGACAGACAACCAGCTCTGTCGCGAATGATACCACGTCTTCTGTGCACGGACACAGCAACCTCCATATTGGCAAATGTTTTGATTGATACACATTCCACCCAAAGTGACCCACTACGGAGACGGGTGACGTTTCTGATTTCCCCACAAATTCCAGATATTGCCATGGAAATAGCAAAAGGGTTTAATTTGATGGGAAGAATATCAACGGCCTCAACTAACAGGAAACGAGCCCAGGAATCAGCATTGGAATAAACAGGTCTCTTCTTTTCATTTCTAGATGAACCAGATGTTTGGGGATTCATAATGTAAGAACAAAGTGGTTCAGCACCCCTGCTCCCTAACCACAACGGAGTGTCAACAAGGACGGTGTCCAGTTGCACCGGATCTCCAACATGCAAACACCAGGGATACAGGGATGTTATACTCCAGCAAATATGACTTGAATAGCTATATTTGTTTACTAAATTTGTTGTCAGGCTGGTTCGCCCATAACAACAATTTATAAACATACAGTATTCAGCTGTCAACATCACTAAATTGGCCCATGAGCCACCGCCTTCTGGCATGGGACTCTTGGCAATGTATTTGAATTCCTTAATTAGATCCTTTATTCAAAATGCCGTAATTGCACAATAATTTTCTCAAGTATCAAGAGAGTGCAACAATATTTACCATGAACACGGCATGGCGTGACCAGCCGATTAGATCACCGTCTAGGTGAAGTCAAGGGCAAAGTGGTGTGTTGGACAAAAGGAACACTGTTACTGGCTCCTATTGCTCTCAACTCCCGTCCTCCACCGATACAGGGGCGCTTACCTAGGGCAAACAGGTTGCCCAATTCAGTCTTACGACCAGCAATTAGGTGCTGTGGACCTATATATATACACACACACACACACACAAACCCGGGTCAACACGGGGGGTGAAAACTACTACCGTGGCGTTACCTCCCCCCACCCCCTCCCTCTCTTCTTTAGGGAATGCAAAGCAGTGGCTTGATCTGGCACATCGTTAAATACAGATGAAAGATTCCATTCCGGAGAAAACAAAGGTAAAGGTTACAGTGTCTATACGGGTTTAATGCTTAGTCAAAACACAACCCTGTCTCACAGATAATAGTGGAGGGTTGGTCCAAAAAACAGGTCAACCTGTGGTCTTAGTTGACTGTTGGAAAACTCACAAACCTCGATCGCAGGTTATAAAATGAAGATCTTGTTATGTACTGACAAGTTTATATTAACACTTCTGAAATTTAAATACATGTTTTGGACGGCCTTTATGGGAAATGCAGGAATTAATATCTATATGACAACCCACGATAGCTCTGACGAGAAATGAGATAGATGTGATCTGAGTAAAACCAACTTCAATAAAGTTCGATGAATGGAAACCAGATCGATCGACAGTCGGTGACCAACTGGTGACAACAGCAACAACAATGACAATCAAATGACAACTACATCTAATATTTAAGTACTTCACTACAAGCAAAATCAAGAGCTGCAGACTGACCTTCGTACAGCGATATGTCAATGCCCCCGAACTAGCCACACTCACGATGTACTAATGTAGCCGAGAGCCGCGATGCGTCCATATACAGTCAAGATATGAGCCTGCTATCAGTTCTCACTATACCGTATTTCCTCCCATAAACGCTTGGTTTTTTAAAGGAGTTCCAGACCCGGCACTTATTAGAGACCCGGAGCTTTTGCACTTACTGGGTTTAATTTCCGTAACTGTTAGTGACTTGCTTTACCCTCGTCGCTTATTAGAGACCCGGAGCTTGTTAGATTGTAAACCGAATGAGCTATGTCCACACCGTTACATAATGCGCATATTCATCTAGTCACTAGGAGACGTTACTCATCAGACGAATATAGATATTCTACAGTCCATCAATTCATCATTATATCAAAACGATTTGATTCATAAAGGTTTCTATTATTTTCCTATTTGTATCAACTATCCAAGATTGTTATTATCCAGAGATAACTTGTCCTAACTACAACTATGTGTACAACATTACCCACAAATGTGAACCTGTATTATGGAGGCTTGTTTGCCTAAACTATACGAGGTGAGGTGAGGTGAAATTGGGTTTAACGTCGTGCTTGAGAATATTTCGCTCATATGACGACGTGCATGCGTGTGTATGTGTATGTGCAGCTGCTTGTACTAGCCCAGACTGGTTTTATAGTGCTAGTCCATTGAGATACCACGCCGCAGTGAAGCATGAATACCCCACTCAGACACATTATACTGACTCCGAGCCGACCAGTCCTTGTTGTACCCATTAATGCCGAACGCCAGGCAGGGACCAACAAGTACCATATTTTAACGTCTTTTGGTATGACGCGATCGGGGATCGAACCCGCGACCTTCCGCTCTCCGGGCGGACGCTCTAATCACTACACCACGGAGGCGGTCAACTATACTAGGGACCATGGGGACTTACAGTGCCTTTGTTACCTGCACGGAAACCAGCTAGGTTTACACCATCCCCTCAACCGCTGGTGATAGAAGTGAAATAGTATTTAGGTGATGTTTTTCTAACAGTTTAACACACTACTGAATTTAACTGAGTTGAAAGGGATAATGTATCTTCTGTTAGGATGATAATGTTTTGAATATTTATCGAACAATTTTAACGTATAAGTGAAGGGAAATGAGGAGAGCTGAGAAGGATGTTTTATTTAAATCCCAATAGCAAATCATAACATGCTGGTAGTACATAAGTAAAAGTGTAAAATTTGACATTATTGATTTCAAGATGAAATTAATTGAAAACAACCGTGGCGGGTTCAAGCAGATTGTCTTATCCTGCAAAGGTTCCCTGAATACTGATGTACAATATAGAAAATAAAAGTGCCTGATCCTGACAATTAAACTGGACATACTGATACTGATGTGAAAGAATGAATAAATATATACTGAACATCATTGAAACCGCACCACTTATAAAAGTTCAGATTATTAAAAGCATGTGTAAGGAATTGATATTTTTTGACAAAAAACAACAACACGGAAAAGACGCTCATTCATTGAAATGTTCGACAGTCAGAAAGGATCAATCACACGTGGGGTCAAATCGAAAAGTCAGTATCGCGTGTGACCGCCATTTGCATTTACATATGCAGTTCAACGTCTCCTCATTGAGTCAATAAGCGTCCGAATAGAGTTCTTGAGGATGGCATTCCACTTCTGCAGTAGTGCAGCCTCAAGTTCCCGGATGTTTCGCATCTGTTGTTGCCGCGAAAGACTTTGTCCAATTTCGTCCCACAAGTGCTCCATGGGGGATACATCTGGCGACTGTGCTGGCCAATGAATAACCTGGATGTGTTGCTGGGCCAGATACTGCATGGAAAGTCTTGTTGTGTGTGCCCGTGCGTTGTCCTGTTGAAAAGTATGGACATCTTGGTGGTGATTGAAGACAGATACGATGTGATTCTGAAGAATCTGCTCACGGTAATAAAGGGCATTAATTCTCCCATACCAGACATGAAGGCAGTCCTGTGATTGTAATTTATTCCACCCCAGACCATGACACTGCCACCACCCAAAGGTCCGTCTGAACCACACACTCATCAGCATAACGTTCACAACGTCTACGCCAAACACGTAATCGGCCGTCAGCATTACATAGATGACGAGATGGTAGATGACTACCACACCATGCCATTGTTGTAACCTTTACTGAAAATGCCTGCTAGCCCATTGTATACGCTCAAGCTCATTACGGTGTCTGTCAGTCAGAATTGGTCCAACGTAAGAACATCGAGCATGGAGCCCTGTGGCGTGTAGACGGCGTCGCATTGAGTCAGCGCTGATGACCCCCACGTCAACCTTGAACTAGTGCAGCAGTCCTGGCAGTCGGCAGTGTTCAATCTCTGATATGGACAAGGTCAATATGGCGATCCTGAAGGAGCGTCGTAGCACGTTGCTGCCAAGGTCTTTGAAGGTCACTGGTGCTGCCTGTCTACTGATGTCGTCTATGAAGCCTAACGGTGGTGGAGTGGCCAAGTCCAAGTTGTCGAGCAATATCCCTGCTGCTGGTGCCACCCTGAATCATGCCTAGTGCACGTTCTCTTTCGTGAAGTGTGCTTGGCATCTCTGTCCTCGTTTCACAATCGTTAGTGAAGCAATGAGAATCGGTTCTCATACACCTGCTTTTAATGTCACAGTCAGTATGATTTCAGAATGAAATTTTGCGCTTTTTTTCATGGCGTGGCTGCATGTTGATGTATTTTGGAATTAAGAGTCATACTGTGGACAGGAATTTGTTTCTAAAGCATTTTTTCAACTGGACATGCCCTTCGACTTCATGTTAGTTATATTCATTGATCATTGTCATACTGAAATCCATCTTGATGACAATATGGACAATTTTAGACTGGTGCGTTTTCAGTGATGTTCAGTATATAGAATAAAAAAGTCAATATCACTGCTGTTGTTATTTATACTTTTTAATGTGTGGAGACTTGCCTGTGTGGAGAATTGTCTGGACACCACCACTGTCACCCCACACTTCTATTCCATGATATGACTCTCGCCTGCATCTAACCTAATCTACTGATTAACTTCATGAAGATCTCATGTCGTCTGCCGTTACTCATAAGTCTCTTTTTACAGCTGGGGACCGAGTCAAAAAGAATGCCAGTTTAATTTTAGGATATCCTCTGATAGCAACACTCGTAGATTACGTATAGGTTAGATCACGAGGACCTGGCGTGTAATCGTTGAAGTGGTTAGTTAGATCGCGAGGCGCGTAGCAGGTGTATGAGAACCGATTCTCATTGCTTCACTAAGGTCCGAGTGGTCTAACCGACTTAAACCATGACACATAATAAAATGGCTACATGTACATTAAACGTTATCAAAACAATGATAAATTCAATGCACTATATTTAGTTGCGTTCTCGCGTAGTAAAAGTTTTATTTTTACACTTAAGGTCCATGAAAATTTCGTATTGCACGTGCATTCACATGTCACTTACAGCACGTGCCATCTGATATGTCTGAACACGATAAGGGCTGTTTGACAATGTAATGTGCCCCTGAATGCGCAGAGTAATTGTAGTAATTATTATGTTATTCTCGGTTAGAGGCGAATGATTGAATTTTAGTTTGCCCTGTATCAGAGTTATTAATGAATGATTTTCCCGCATGCGCAAACGTTCATCAAGAAACATGCTTTCACATTCACCGCCATTGCCAGTGTCAGCAACAAATGGGTCCAGAATGTCTGAAGAAGATTTTATTCCGTGCTCACAAATATATTTGAGCTCAAATGTTCATAGTGTAGGAGTTCGGATAATTTATACTTTAGAAATAGGTTGTAGGGTGGAATAGAATAGTGTTATAGTGTTATGAGTTGTTTATATTTATTTATCGGCAGATTGGGTGGTTTTTATATACGTGGTTTGCTAATGCAAACAAATAGGTTGGGTTCCTTATAATTACGTTTCTGCCTATTTTTGCAAGTACTGTATTGACGTCGTTATCTTGTAGTCATTTATTCTACTTATTACTCACGTTTGGCAGTAAAATTCCGTTGGAATTTCCTTCGTCGGTCATGTAAGGTAGCTGGGTATCTGTCGTATCCCTTCGCTGTCCGCCGTGTTGGGAGCGGAAGCGGAAGGTGCGCAGTGCCGCGGTGAAGTTGTTTACTGTTGCGTAGCCAATCATAACACTTCGTCGTGACCTTTCGGAGGTTAGCTCACGGGGTATATAAGAGCCTGATGCGACCGATATCGTTGTCTTGCGTATCGGTGTTCCGAGCAAGTAAGTCAACTGCCTATACGGGGGATGTTCCCTACGGCTCGTTAGGTTTGGTTTATGGTTTTTTTAAGACTCTTATTGTAGAAGTAGTTTCATACTGTAGTCGGGTGAGGTAAGAAAACATAGATTATGACATAGTTTATTTTCTCGGGGTTTAACATGTAGGTAGTGTGGGTTGGGGGAGAAACTAGTGTTAGGAATTAAGTAGGTCATGTAGAACTTAGGAATTAGTGTAGGGAATAGGTTTCTTTTAGCGAGTGAAAGAGATATTTTGTTCAGTTTTTGTTATCATTTGTTTTGCTTGTTTTCCTTATTTTTATTTAACAGAATACATTAGTATTATCTACATTTCTGCCTTGTGTCATATTTTGCTGCAAGAGTTGACAACTGCCACTGAACCGAAGAAGACTGTACACTGTTCCGCTGGTTTTTAAAGCTTTCCATCATTTAATAAAAGTACACAACGCAAAGTCTATAATAAAACTATGAACGGGGAAACACCGAGGTACATTCTACATTGAATTCCTGTCACTGGGTTGCCTACTAGAGGGCGCCTATTACAGATTTGGTGCCGTGACCAGGATTTGTTTTGTCTTTTTCTAGGTAAAACTTAATTGATTCTTGGCAGAATATGTAATCTCATTTGTCTCAAAAACAAAACAACTACAACAATAAAACAAACAAAAATTCCCAAATAAATAAAGTATTATATTTTGTAGCTTTACTATGTGAATTAAGGTTAGTTTCATCATACAGGTGTATCCTGTTGAAACTGATTGGTTATAGAGTATATTTATGGAGTATATTTAGAAGGTAGAATTGAAAAGTTCTTGGTTTTGCAACATCCGTTGTCAGACATTATGGCATCAGAGGAGACGCGTGATTCATATTCCATGGAACAAGATCAGGTTGAGTCCCCTCCAGATAATCTGGATCATGCTCTTATCGACTTGTCAGATTTAGGTGAAGCGGGATTTGCAACCTCTACACCTAATGTTTGTCGTTCAGTTGAAAACATTGGTTCATCTCATCCACTCCCAAGTGTTAGTACACAAGCTGGTAATAGTGAGATAAGGGGTATTACATCATCTGTTAATGAAGCAATGCTGAATTTTCAGCAAGGGTCTGCTTATGGTAGAAGTGATAGACAGGATAGACGTTCTGTACATTTTGGTGTTCCATTTACAGATAGACCCTTTGACAGGCAGAATGAATTCTGTAGATACAATCAGAGGGCACCTTCAGTAGCAGGGTTGGTTCCTGGTCTAACGCGAAATACCTCTTTGATGGATATTAACTGGACAGGTGATAGGGTTTATCATAGTGATTGTGATAGCTCTTTTGTGCAACCATTCGTGGCGAAACCTACCCGTCGTGAAGTGATTCCAGATACTTTTGATGGTAAAAGTTGTGAATGGCCGGATTTTCTTGTTCATTTTGAACAAGTTGCTGCATGGAATGGGTGGTCTAGCGGAGAAAAAGCACTACACTTAACCATGTGTTGACGAGGAACTGCTCAAAAACTTCTCAGCAGCCTTACGCTATTACAGTTGAGTGATTACAGTGCAATCAAAGGTGTACTAACTCAGAGGTTCAATCCTAGAGAAAGAGGTGTAGCTTTTCGGTCTGAGTTTAGGGGCCGTAGACAGGGCAAGGATGAGTCGGTGTCTGACTATGCATATGGTTACCAGCTGCGGAGATTGGCACTTTTGGCGTATCCAGATGCCACCTTTGTTTCGCTTGAGCCACATGTCATAGACCAGTTTTTGACGGGGTTGTCGAATTTCAGTATGAAAAAACACATTGCATTTGTACATCCCCAAACATTAGAGGAAGCTATTGCTCATGGTGTAGAGTTTGAGGCAGTTGAGGGACATAAAAGCAGGAAACCTGAAATGGGTGAACGGATTGCCAGGGTTTCTGAACCAGTGTCGGATGAGGGTTTGACTGTGGATACTGTTGTCAAGTTGATAGATCAGCGTTTAGAAGCATTTGCAAAATCATTGCAGAGGCCCAGGAAACTTAGGTGTTCTGTTTGTCAGGATCCTGGACATATGAGAGATAAATGTCCATATCTAGCTAAGTTAGACTTACCTGGACCTGCTGCATCAAAACCAAATGGGGGAAACTAAGTCAGGCTGGGATCGAGGCCAAGATTTCAGCCAATGTCAAGCAAAATGTTAGGCCGACTGAAAGGTACACTGCAGGGAAGATGTTATCACATGTTGGAGACATACGTTCTACTAAGCGAGAGCCAGTGGTATTGCGTGTTAGTACTAGTGATAAATCATGTCTTTTTCTGGACGCTGAGCTTGGGTCAGGCATATGTACAGTACTTGTAGATACAGGTTCTCCTGTTTCAGTACTGTCATATCAGGATTTCCAGAAGTTGGGTCCCAATGATTCCACTTTGAGTGTTGTTGATAGAGACATTTTCACAGCGAATGGTACTCCTGTTAATGTGTATGGTTGTGCAACATTTGAGTTTACTGTTGGTAGAGCACAGTTTGTGCAAGAGTTTATGGTTGCAGACCTAGGGCATTTGAGTAGTATCATTGGTATGGATTTCTTTGAGACATATGATTGTGAAATCAAGATCAGAAAGAAGGTGCTTAGTACTTCACAGGGTAAGCTCAAGCTTTACAGGCAGAAAACATACAGCTGTTCTCGTATTCTTGTGCAGGACAAAGTTGTTGTTCCTGAAGGTGCAGAAAGGTTTATTGAATGTAAAATGGTAGGTCCCTTTTCATATGAACATGGTTTGATTGAGCCAAATAACCAGTTGCGTAGTAGAGGTCTTTTTGTGGCTAGGAGTTTAGTCAGACCTAAGGGTGATAAGGTTGTGGTTTCAGTTTTAAACCTCAGTAACAAGGGAGTATCATTAAACAGCTCATCATTAGTTGGTAACATCAGTGCTATTAGACAGGTGGTTGAGTGTCAAGATCAAGAACCTGAAACAGTCAAGCAGGAGTTTCCTCCTCACTTGCAGCCCTTGATTGATAAAAGTTCAGATACTCTTTCGGTTGAACAGAGACAGGCTTTGACCCATTTAGTTTCTGAGTTTGAGGACATTTTTGTTGGTGAGGACGGGAAGTTGGGGCAAACCAGTGTGGAAACTCATAGGATAGACACTCCTGAAACAGTTCCCATTAAGCTTCCTGCTAGAAGAGTGCCTTTGAGTAGAAAACAGGTGATAGAGGATGAAATTGACAAAATGTTCGAACATGGTGTCATAGAGCCTAGTGATAGTCCGTGGTCAGCTCCAGTTTGCTTAGTGACTAAGAAGGACGGCAGTTGTAGGTTCTGTGTGGACTTTAGAAGGTTGAACTCTGTCAGTACAAAGGATGCATATCCTTTACCTCGTATTGATGAAACTCTAGAGACTTTAGGGGGTTCCAAGTGGTTTAGTACTCTGGATTTGGCAAGCATATAGGGCTGTACAAGTTCAACGTTATGCGGTTTGGCTTAACTAATGCACCAGCTACATTTGAAAGGCTCTTGGACAAGGTTCTTGGGAAACTTAGGTGGAAGAAATGCCTGTGTTACCTCGATGACGTCATCATCTTTGGGTCAGATTTCAATGATGCCTTAGCAAATCTAAAGATGTTTTTTACTCAGTTACGACAGGCAAACCTGAAGTTGAAACCTAAAAAGTGTACACTCTTTCAAACAGAGGTAGCTTATCTGGGGCACATTGTGTCAGAAGAAGGGATCAGATGTAATCCTGATAAAAGCAGTTCCATTAAACCTTGGCCAATTCCTGGAAATCGTACTGAGGTTCGTAGTTTTCTCGGACTTGTAGGGTACTACAGGCACTTCATATCAGGTTTTTCCCAAATAGCTTTTCCTTTGAATCGGCTCACTCGGAAAGGTGTTGCTTTCTTGTGGACAGAGGAGTGTGATAGAGCATTTAGCCGGTTAAAGCAGTGTCTTATAGAAGCGCCAGTTTTGTCATTTCCAAGGGAAGAAGGCTTATTTATCCTGGATACAGATGCCAGTGCATATGGTATGGGAGCTGTTCTCTCGCAAATGCACGACGGGACAGAAAAAGTCTTAGCATATGCCAGTCCAGCACAGAGGAATTATTGCACTACAAAGAGGGAATTGCTAGCAGTAGTTACGTTTCTGAAAACATTCCGACACTACTTGTATGGTAGGCAGTTCTTGGTCCGAACCGATCATGCTCCACTTATCTGGTTGAAGAACTTTAAGGATCCAGAGGGAATTTTGGCGAGGTGGTTAAGTGTTATTGAAACGTATAGTTTCCGGACCCAATATCGTGCAGGCACTAAGCATGGCAATGCTGATGGTTTGTCTCGTAGACCAGTCCGAAAATGTGGGTTTCAGGAATGTTCCGATTGTGTCGAAACACAGGGATCCCATGAGGTTGACGGTTCCAGAGTTGTTGTTTCAAGCAGAGTTGCTCCACTTTCTGTTAGTGATAGGGACCAGTTGTCAGATGAGTCAGAGGGGTCTATCCTGCTGCCATCTCATGCTGATACATCTTGTAGTGTTCCAAACTGGTTACCAGTCTGGACTAGGGATGAACTTTTGGAAGGACAAGAAGCTGATTTAGGGATAGGACCTATTTTGAAGTTATTGAAAAACAGCTCTGTTTCACCATCCAGAGGAGAGATAATGGACTATTCGGCTGAGGCTAAAAATCTTTGGGGACAGTGGCATAATTTGATTGTTCAAAACGGGCTCTTGTACAGGAAAAAGGAGTGTGATTTTTTTGGTCCCCGACTACAATTAGTTGCTCCTGCCACTGTGCTAGATAGCATATTTCAACAGCTACATACTAATAAGTCAGCAGGTCATTTTGGACGGGACAAAACACTCAAAGCTATCAAGTACAGGTTTTTTTGGCCTAACATGTCTAAGGGCATTAAACGTTGGTGCAAGTCTTGTTCATATTGCGCTAGGTGTAAGTCGCAGTTTAAAGTGAGCTCACCTTTGGAATGTTTGGCAATCGATATTGTCGGTCCTCTACCGATCAGTCCAGTCGTCATGAAAATGAGTATATCATGGTGGTTGGGGATTATTTCACAAAGTGGAAGGAGGCGTTTGCAATTCCAAACCATACAGCAGCCACTGTTGCAGATAAATTGGTTTCTGAAGTCTTTTGTCGTTTTGGTTGCCCACTGCAGTTGCATACAGATCAGGGAAGAGAATTTGAGTCCAACTTGTTTGCTGAAATCTGTAGTTTGTTGGGAATACAAAAGACTAGAACCACTCCTTATCGACCACAGTCGGATGGTATGGTGGAGAGATTTAATAGAACACTCAAGCAGATGTTGTCCATTTATGTGCATCAAGAACCTTTGGATTGGGATGATCATCTTCCTTATCTTCTCATGGCATACCGTTGTAGTGAACATAAGAGCACACATTGTACTCCAAACTTGATGATGTTAGGACGGGAGATTAGGGTTCCCATTGATGTCATGGTATAAAGTCCATCAGGGGAACAGGGTCCAGATTGTCCAGTTGCATATGTCAAATGGTTACAGGAAATTATGCAACAGGTCTTTCAGGTTGCTTCAGATCAGTTGGGAGTTGCTGCTTCGACTCAGAAAAGAAATTATGATCTGAGTTTGAAAGTTAGATGCTTTGAGATTGGAGAGTTTGTATGGAGGTGGTATCCACCGAAAGCAAACCAAAAGTTAGGTTTGGGATGGGATGGTCCATATCTCTTTGTTGGTAAAATATCGGATCTTACCTACCAGGTTCAGAAAAATGCTGGGGCTCCAGTTATTAGTGTTCACGTAGATCATCTTAAGCCGTTTCAGTGTAGTCCTATACCACACAACTGGTTAGATAGTTCTGTGGATACCAGCTGTGAGGTGTCAAATCAGGTAGCATCAGAATCTGAGGACGATTCTGAGCCTTTTTCAATGGGGGAGGGGAGTTGTGTTGATAGTTCTTCTATTGCGAAAGTCTCCTGTGAGGACAAGAGTGGGTAGACCTGTGAAACCAAGATGTCCATATTCTCCATGAGTCCAGAGAAGTGTGGTTTGCAAGTTTTTAGTGGCGTTTTTTAGATATATCAGGTTGTATTGAAATACTCTTCAATAAGTGAGTCTTGGCAAAAGGGCATGGGGAATATCACCGTAGGGAAGGCATTTGAAAAAAAATAAAAAATTCCCTCGCTTGCATTTTATTTTGCTTCATTTCTTTGTTTGCCTTCAGTTGCATTTATATTCAGTTTTCATTTTATAATTGGCTTTCAGAATGGATGTATTAGATCTAACTGTAGCACCACAGGAGTTGAACGAGCTAGAGGAGGATCGAGGGGTCTTTCCGAAGATGGGAATGGAATGCGCAGTTTGTAAATCCAGGCCGTGTGCTGCTGCCTCGTGCCACTGCGCCTGCTGGCTGTCCTTCCGCAGCATTTTCTGCAGAGGTCACACACTTCGACCGCGATTCTACTCCTCCACCAGCTCCGCTGTCACCAGGAAAGATCCGCCTCAGGGAACTGGAGAAGGAACGACGACATTCCCTCCCATCATGCCGCCGGTCTCTGGAGGAACGTCAGGACGAGGAAATAGAACTAATGGAAGCCATGTCATCACCACGGGAATGAACAGCAGTACCTGCAAGAAAAAGTTGTTATTTTTTTTTTGGTTCAGAAACCTGGGGATAAAATAATTTTGGGAAAATAATTTTAATCTAAGGGGGGAGGAATGTAGGAGTTCGGATAATTTATACTTTAGAAATTGGTTGTTGGGTGGAATAGAATAGTGTTATAGTGTTATGAGTTGTTTATATTTATTTATCGGCAGATTGGGTGGTTTGCTAATGCAAAAAAATAGGTTGGGTTCCTTATAATTACGTTTCTGCCTATTTTTGCAAGTACTGTATTGACGTCGTTATCTTGTAGTCATTTATTCTACTTATTACTCATGTTTGGCAGTAAAATTCCGTTGGAATTTCCTTCGTCGGTCATGTAAGGTAGCTGGGTATCTATCGTATCCCTTCGCTGTCCGCCGTGTTGGGAGCGGAAGCGGAAGGTGCGCAGTGCTGCGCAGAAGTTGTTTACTGTTGTTCATAACACTTCGTCGTGACCTTTCGGAGGTTAGCTCACGGGGTATATAAGAGCCTGATGCCACCGATATCGTTGTCTTGCGTATCGGTGTTCCGAGCAAGTAAGTCCACTGCCTATATGGGGGATGTTCCCTACGGCTCGTTAGCTTTGGTTTATGGTTTTTTTAAGACTCTTATTGTAGAAGTAGTTTCATACTGTAGTCGGGTGAGGTAAGAAAACATAGATTATGACATAGTTTATTTTCTCGGGGTTTAACATGTAGGTAGTGTGGGTTGGGGGAGAAACTAGTGTTAGGAATTAAGTAGGTCATGTAGAACTTAGGAATTAGTGTAGGGAATAGGTTTCTTTTAGCGAGTGAAAGAGAGATATTTTGTTCAGTTTTTGTTATCATTTGTTTTGCTTGTTTTCCTTATTTTTATTTAACAGAATAAATTAGTATTATCTACATTTCTGCCTTGTGTCATATTTTGCTGCAAGAGTTGACAACTGCCACTGAACCGAAGAAGACTGTACACTGTTCCGCTGGTTTTTTAAAGCTTTCCATCATTTAATAAAAGTACACAACGCAAAGTCTATAATAAAACTATGAACGGGGAAACACCGAGGTACATTCCACATTGAACTCCTGTCACTGGGTTGCCTACTAGAGGGCGCCTATTACAATAGTAATGCAGTTTCTCCGACAAATTATGCTACCCTATACAGTGATATTAGCGACAACGATGACAGCGTTGCCGGGAATATGCAGACTGCAGATAAACATTGTGACATACCGTCAAGTGAAGATGATGCCATGTATGTAGCTTCTCAACAGATTGAGAGTGAGTTGTTAAAAAAAAACAGAAAAGTGAATTTCTTGTTTTGTCTTCGAGCGATGATGACATGATATATGCAGTTTCACAAGAGATGGAAAGGCAAAATGCAAGGAAATCAACTAATACACGCTTCGGTGAACCCTTATCTGATCGGGAAGTTACGGAAATGAGCAAGAAGATAGTGCCACAGAAAACACAGAAGTCTATAGAATGGGCATGTCGTCTGTTTGAATCTTGGCGAATTTCGAGGAATGGAAGGATACTAAATGGTGATACATCCGGGAATCGACTTAGTTTGATTCCGCATGATCTAAAGGATCTGAATGATGACGAACTTAATTATTGTCTGTGTAGATTTATTATGGAAGTGAGAAAGGAGAACGGCGAAAACTATTCCCCAAAAACTTTACGACAGTTGGTTTTGCTTATCCACATGAGGTTG